TGTGATTTGTGGGCGGTGGCGGCGAGATAAATCACGGGGCTGGCGACGCCTTTGGATAACGACTGCGCCACACATCGTCGAGAGAGTCGTCACGAGCCCAGCGGGCGCAGCCGAGGGCACCGCGGCGGGCCGGGGTCAGGGAGGCTGTTGGGAGCAGTATTACCGGACAGAGGGGGTTATTGGGCTGACGACGAGATCGGGGTAGGGCATGCCCTGGCGGGGCGGGGCGGGGACCAAAACGCACGGGCAAATCAAATGGGGAGAGAAGGTTTTCTACCAAGAAAGGGCGCAATTTCATGAACATTGTTTGCCTAGTACAGTTGTTGTGACATTTTTACAAAGAACAATTCCCGACAATTTGTACCAACTCGAAAAGGCCTCGTGGTTAGTCAAGTCAAGAATGAAATAGACCTAATAGAAAGAATAATACACACCAAAACATCGCGATATGAATCCTTATTTAGGAGCTCTCCTGAGGCTCCTCTCCTGTGTGATAGCGTACAAGATGTACACGCAGATGAGAAGATTGCGAAAAGAGCTTGTTGCATACATTACACTCAAAAGGTTTTTCTCCAGTGTGCGTTCGGAGATGAACACGCAAATGAAAACTTCTCGAGAATTTCTTGTCACACACAGTACACTCAAAAGGCTTTTCTCCTGTGTGCGTTCGGAGATGATTACGCAGACTGCCGCTCACCGAAAATTTCTGGTTGCACAGAGTACACTGAAAAGGTTTCTCTCCAGTGTGCGTTCGAAGATGTTCACGCAAGCTGTCGCTTCTCAAAAATTTCTTGCTGCACACAGTACACTCAAAAGGCTTCTCTCCAGTATGCGTTCGGAGATGTATACCCAGATCAGAACTTGTCCAAAATTTCTTGTTGCACACACTACACTCAAAGGGTTTTTCTCCAATGTGCGTTCGGAGATGTTTACGCAGATTGCAACTCTGTGAAAATTGCTTGTTGCACACAGTACACTCAAAAGGCTTTTCTCCAGTGTGCGTTCGGAGATGGACGCGAAGGGTTCCACTTCTCGAAAATTTCCTGCTGCACACGGTACATTTAAAAGGCTTCTCTCCGGTATGTGTTTGGAGATGTTTACCCAGATCAGAACCTGTCGAAAATTTCTTGTTGCACACAGTACACTCAACAGGTTTTTCTCCCGTGTGCGTTCGGTGATGTGCTCGCAGATTGCTGTGCACCGAAAATTTCCTGTTGCACACAGTACACTCAAAAGGCTTTTCTCCAGTGTGCGTTCGGAGATGTATACGCAGACTGCCGCTCTCCGAAAATTGCTTGCTGCACACAGTACACTCAAAAGGCTTCTCTCCAGTGTGCGTTCGGAGATGTACACGAAGACCGCCACTCTCTGAAAATTTCTTTTTGCACACAGTACACTCAAAAGGCTTCTCTCCAGTGTGCGTTCGGAGATGGACGCGAAGGGTTCCACTTCTTGGAAACTTCTTGTTGCACACTGTGCAATCATAACGATCTTCCGTGTGCATTTCGAGTTGCGTCCCCTTGTGCATTTTCATGTGATGGGCAAGCTG